AGGACAAATAAATAAATGATTCGGCTACGCCCCTTCGTCGCCGCATTTTAGACGAATACTACTCTTCCCAAATCTATTATTCCGTCGAACCAATCGCCCAATAGATTCTGAAATATCTCTCCAAAGCCTTGGATCCCAATCTATAAAACCGACTCCTTCAGGAATATCTCGAGATAGATTTCTCTTTCTTAGATAAGTAATTTGATAGATATAGCAATTTCCTCAAATACGTAATTCCCTCAACTGCTGCTAACCTACTAAGCCTCAATATCAAAATACCAACGTATATTCAAGATACGAAATATCACGGCATATCATATTAAGAATTCTAAATATTTTTTTCTTATATATCAACTAATTTGTCATTATGCGTGCATTCCCCCCACGATATTCCGTTGCTATAAGTAACGGGTCCCCATTCTAATTAAAACGAGGGAATAAAAAATATCGTATATTATTAGGCGGAGAATTAATCAATTCTAATATATATATAGGCTATACTTAAAAATGAAAATCTCTTATTAATATAATCCCCGCTTTTATTTCTAATTATATTCTATTATCACGATCTATTATTTCTCACGAATATTTGACATTAATATATTTCATAAAAATCGCAAAAATATTTAATAGAAATCGACGAATTCTATTCTAAATCTATATCGTAGAATGGGTTCCAAAATCTATTCAAATTTTATGATTCCCAGATATATATATATAAATCAATCTTCTTTCATCCAATTCATTCTATTTGAATCGTATATTCTTCATGCCATTCCGATTTATCTTCTCGTCTTCTTATTCTTTATTTAGGCGGACGACGGCATCCTAATATCATCTTATTTAAAGTAAATATTAGAGCCTATATATGAGAATTTTATGAAAGGGTCCAAATGAAAAAGAAGAAATATCGTTATTCAAGATTTCTAAAAAAATCTATCAATTTAATATCCCATTTGCGCCCATCCGGGATTTGGGATTCCCATATCAGTCTTTGACGCTCAGATTTTCCAGTCCTAATCTAAATCTTCAAAGCCTCAGAGCCACAAGAAACACGCGCGCTCCTTTACCTCAAGGATTGCCTCTCGCATTTGGGGAGATATATATATATATTTTTTTTTGGCGTTAAGGAGCAATTGTTTTACGACCCTGCTCTCGAGTCCCAATAAGCGTCCAACGAAAGCCCGCGTCTCTTTGGATACTTTTGGCAGTCTGTGGTTGTTTGGCGCAACATGGCTCCATATGATATGAATATATCAAGGGTGATTGCCCTCCCCTTGCAGCCGCAAGTTTTGCACGTCTCTTTGGGTCTCTCGGCAATCTGTGGTTTTTGCATGAATATTACATAAACATGTCAAAGGGTGCTTGCCCTCCCCTTGCAGCTGCAAGTTATTTGTCCAAAGCGTTTCAATGGAACAAACCATGATCCAATAAGAACCATCAAGCCAACATCTCGTTTGTATATGTTGCATGATTGACGTTGCCAGCGTGCGGCTCTACTCCCCTCTCAGGTAAGGCAATTGGTGCCTGCATGAGTGTGCACGCAGAAGTTCATCATGTGTTTCCACTTGCTCAAAGAAAGCTCTTCCTTTACAAGCTGGATCATGTCCTGCGACCATTCGTACCCGCCATCGAACTGTACCTCTTCCAAAAGAGGCATGTTCTGAAGCTTCTCCATCACCAGCTGCAGGGTTGAAAGGTTCTGGCAGCAGGACATGCGCAATATCTTCACGTTTGTGAGTTGCGGCGGGCCATCCCACTTCCAGAACTTCACGACTCCGGTGTCGTCGTACTTGAGGCTTTCAATATCAACGGCCTCCAACCCCGGCATGTTCCGCATGGCCTCACCTAGGGCCTCAATGGCATTGTTACTTATGTTTCCGTTGCTTATGGACAGCCTGCGAAGAGGAAGGGCATGGTTGAGGGCCGCCACTGACGTGCCAAAAAAACTGATGGCATCATCAACTGCATTCTGTATGCGCAGCTCTGCGAAATTTGGCAAGCCTTTGACTAAATCCACCAAGGTCTTCATGGCCTGTTTGTTCAACGAAAAGCCAGCAAGCTGGAGCTCTTCGAGCATCGCAGTATGCAACAGCTTGCTTGCTACCAGGGCCAGGTCTGCCGCTGGGAAAGACATGCTGTCCAACCGGAGGTGCAAACGTCTCAGGCTGGGCATCTTGGCAAGAATACTCACCACAGGGCTTGCATCTGATTCTGCTGCGGATTCGGAATGTTGAGAGTCACTCACTGTAGATAAAAAGAAGGATTCCAACTTGCTGAGTTCTGCCTGGCTCTGCAGTGCAAGGGCGAAATCATGCAGTTGCGTTGCTGCTAATCCCCTCACTCCTAAATCCAAAGTCTGGAGGGCTGGGATTTTGGAGAGCGCTTGGCCGAAAGAGCCCATGTCATCCGACCCATTCAAAGTTTGAAAACCCAAACGCAAAGAGGTCAAAGACGACAGAACCCGGGATCTGCTCGCGTTCACAATACCTGGCAACAGCTCATCAGCCGATCCTGGGACGTGCAGCTCTTGCAAACCTGTCAAGTTTCCCAGCAGGTCTGCCAGGGCAGCTGCAGCCTGCGGCCCCAGCTGACAATCAAGGGTGATGGCACGGAGCCGCGGCGCTTTTCGCAGCATACGCAGCCATGCTCCCGTCTCCTTGTCTGTCCCACAAGAAATTCCAAGTTGGATGTCTGTAAGCTTGGGGAATGCCCAGCTTTGCAAGGCAGGCAACACCAGTCTCATACTCCTTCCCATAGTGCTTCCTCCACCCGGTAACAGTAGAACCTGGATGGCCATGGGACGCTCGATGCCATTCTGCTGAATTGCCTCCCAACATTGATGACAGCCTTTGTTAACAGCTAAGGGCAGCATCAAATTCCCAAACTTTGGGCTAGCTTCAAGGAGACTGTGGATCAATGCAAGGCCGTTCTCATGCTGTAGCAAGACGTCCCAGACAGATCCCAAGACTTCAGCTCCAGCAAACGACATCCAAGCTCGTCTCCCCACAACATGGCTCTTCAGTGTCACGTCACGATTGGACATTAGGCTAAGGTTCGAATCATCTGGAAGGCAATGTTCAAAAGTGACATTGACAGCGTGCAAGCTGCCTGTCCGAACGCCTGCATCAACAAGACGTGCAACTTTACGAATCTCCTCAATCGTTCTAGGCCTTTCTTCCTTTGGGGGGACAACGCCACCAGCCAGCAGCTTCTGGAGAATTGGGCATTTGACCTTCAGGACCCGCCTGCATGCGGTTTGTAAGAAAACTTCCTCTCCTCCTGTAAGTCTACCATCAAAGCTTGCAAGGACTGTACGGAAGTGAAACGCCACAGTAGCCTTCTGGGTCTCCGCACTGTTGGTGCGGACACCCAAGCAAAGCAAGTCGGCAGTATCCTGAAGTCCTGATTGCAATTCTAGCTCACGCGTCTCCGCTTTGGAACACTCCTGCCAAGTTGAAGCGAGAGCCCAGGAGGGACGCTCATCAGCACGCGCCTTCAAAGCACACCTCAGCAGCTGACCCATGACACTCCTGAGTGCAACTTGATGATCCCAACGAGTCCGACCATCTTTTTCTGAATAGTCCACAGATAGGGGCAGATTCTCTCGGGTGAGGTTAAATGTGCCGATCACCGGTACACGAACGCCTGTGTACGCTACGTTGCAGCCGCGTGCAAGCAGCTGGCACGCCACATCCGCATTCCACAGCTCCCTCACATGATGCCATGTCTCATTTTCAGCTGCAAGATCGTGCTGCAGCAGCCTGCACCTGTCTGAGCTCACTTCAGGCCCAAGTGCCCAAACAGAAGCATGCTGGGTGCCGTGCAGCTGAATCTGCACCTGTTGCGCAGAGCCCACCGCAAATCCGGAGGTTCTGTTCCTGGGTACTATCTTGAAATCAAGGCTTCTGACTGCCTGCGGAGCAAAGGGTGGCAGACTGATGGACACGTTTGGTGCATCCCAACCCCTGCCCTCCGGGTTGCAGACCTTGTATCTGCCTTGCAAAAAATTCTGCGCACACTGCGAGAATGAGATGTTGCTGAGTACGTTCTTCACCTGCACCCAGTCAGACCACTCGCCAAACACGTCTGCCTCTGTCGCCCACTCAACATCGTAATCACTGTCCGGCAAAAGCACCACCATACTGAGAAGCAGACTCCCAAGCTCGTTGGGGTGATACTCAGCGATAGTGACAACCACTCCTGATCTACTGCTGGTGGCATTGGCTTGCAGCTGTACAAATGCCCCGTTGAAGAGCTCCCCTGTCAAGTTCACCAAAACCTCCAGCGGCTGGGCCGGGCCGGCTGAGATTCGCAGACTCTCAAGATCGCTGCTCAGCATCTGCTCGCCCACGGCCAGACCCAAATCCAGCTTGAAGGTGGCCACTCGATTTAGCCACTCTGGCTTTACTCCAGACATCTTCAGGGTCCAACCTTCAATTGAAGCCTGCCAGCACTCTGGGTCGACCCCTTCCAGACAAAGCTTGCCAGAGACATTTCGTGACAATGGTTCCCTGGTTGGGCGCATAGTGTGACTGGCATCGCATGTGGAGCTGGGCAACATGGCTCGGAAGCACCCATTGTCGCCGGCAAAGGCTGCAAGGCAATCAGGATCGTGGCGGCAATTCCGGCGGCAGGTCTCAGACAATTTGCTCATTCCGTGCTTCAGGTCGCAGAATGTCGTGAAGGGCTTTGCACAGTTTAATGTGGGCTGAGTATGGCATGGGTAGGGGATGCCTTGCTTGTAGTCTGACAAGAGCACGCTGAAGTTGTAGGGCTGCCGCATTGAAGGCACACTGATAATGGAGCCTGGAAGTTCACTCCAGCGCACACCTCAGCTTTTGCACAGGAATACAGGGAAGGCTGGAACTAATTCACAGCCACTCAGTGTTGAAATTAGAAGTGATTCATTACTGGATGGCAGTCTGGCAATTTCAAAAAAACAAAGTCTAGAAAGATGGTTCCTCAAAAGCAAAAGCTGCTGTCATTAGGCAGGGGACAGCGGTCGAAGCCCTCTGACATAATCCGAACACTGATCGGAAAAGTGGCCACTGGGGAGAACTGCACGTCATAGCTGGCAGTACTTGTGCGAAGTCCTGGCCATATGTAGGCAGCAGCACATCGTAGTTTGGGCTTTTCTAGGGCCCAAACATGTAGCAAGGCAAAATCCCCCCAATCCTGTTGCGTGAAGCTTCCAAATTCCATTTTTGCATCTGGGCTCGCACACTTTCTGTACTTTGTTGTCTTCCAGATTTCACCGGGAGCTGACATGGCAATTACGTCTCAAATGGCGACTGAGAGACTACATGGCACTTGAGAAATTTCAGATGCTCATGCCACCAAGCCACGTGCAATAGGACAAAAGCTCTGATGCAAGTTACCATGTTCCGGATGGAGCAGGTCAGCCTGGTAATGCTCAGACACGGTGTGCCACAGACTCGAAACCGCAACCACGTCTAAATCCCGAATCTCCCAACGAACGTTTCTCTCGCTCTGGCAGGTCATTCAGCCAAAGTGTTGCAACGGGAGAATCCATCGGACCATCGTTCTGTATCGGATGAAGCGCCGTCCACAACAAGGACTTCACAAGCAAAGCAACTGAAAATAAACTATCAACTGCCGCTGGATGTGTCTATCAACGGGGAGTCAGCGACATGCAAGGCCGGCTGACCGGTCCAAGACCAGAGTGTCTCGACCAGAGCTACATCCATTGCCTCTGGCCAAGATACGTCAAGCTTTCCAAGTCTACGTCTGTGAAAGCAGCGATGGGATCAGGACGGCTGGCACAAAGACATGTTCTAGTGGATCATGCTGCCTGAATGTTCGCCCATCTAGATCTAAAGAAAATGGGAAATAACAAGCTCAACCCTGGACCCAAAATAAATCAGGAAGTCCTTGGACAAGAACTTGAGCATGCTGAGGCAGAGGTCTCATGAGCTGAACCATCTTCATGGCGGCGTCAGCCTAGGGAGATCTGCAGATATGTGGCAAACTGCATGCAAGTTGTATCATGTGACGGCATGCAAACGCACACCATACCTATGTGATGTGCGAATGCGCGTGTTTGTGGGGCGTGTGTGAATCAATTCTGGTGCATCCTACTTCAAAGGCTTTCCCATGATTTGGTCAAGGACCACCCCACCTCCTCCTCCTCCTGTACCACAGCCCGCTGGTCAATGGCTACAGACTTTGTGTTGGATGCCTTTGCTGTGGCCACGATCATCACTTCCTTGATGCTCCTGTCCAGCTCGATATCCTTGGATCCGTCTTAGAATAGTGCATCGGGGTTCCTGTATTAGTTTTAGAACCGAAGGAATGCGCGACGAGTAGGTTGCCCTTTCTTTCCGTTCCAAACTGCTTGGACTGCATTCCGCAGTCCAAGACAAACAAGTTGCAAAAGATTCATCGGGTGCTGGAATCTTCAGTGAAGGCACGTACTTTGTCACCCAGGGTGCGAAGTCAATGGGATTATGGTGGCTGGCCAGAGTCAAGGAGTCGAGCTTTGATGCGCTGCATAGGTACCTCGCGTGCTCCAAACCCTTTCTTGAAGCTTCACTCATGCGCTGCTTCCGCTTTTACTTGGTTCATCATGATGCTACTTTGCGAAGGGGTGTGATGCAGCTGGGTTGCAGGGCTGTGTGCCCAACAGAGGCCGCTAGAAGCACGAAGACGGCCGAGATCAGCAGCGGAAAGGTCAGCAAGCCCAGACGTGAGCCCGTGAGCTCGAAGAGAGCCCTGCCCTGCCAGGGCAAGTCGCGCCAGAGCCGCAGCGAAGCAGCCTGGTTGGTGACGTCTGCGCCTGGCGCAGCCTGTAAGGCTGCCAGCACGGGCCTCCCACTCCTGCCTGCATCCAAGAGCCTTGACAAAGAGACGATGGCCAAAGTGCCTTCCGAGAGTGTCACGGAAGGTCCTGCGGGCTGAAGGCCTTCAGAGTCCTTAGCCCTGCGAGAAAACACTTGAAGGAGGCCGCGCATTCGATGTTTTCCTTCCATCTGTTGCATGGCCTCATCCTGCAGCTTGGCTTTCTGCAGTTCGCCAAAGATGCTGAGGGCTGGGCCTGCAAAGGAAGTGACCAGGAGCAGGAAGAGCTTCACAAAACCCAATGCTGCCAGGGCAATTGCCGTGCACACCACTAAAACCGCGGTGCCGGCCAACACCACGGCATCCTCCGTGCGTGGTGCGCTTGCATGCTCCAGACTAATGCCATGGCAAAGCGCAGCGTTTGCCAGCTGCTGCTGGCACATGGTCCGCAGAGTACGCATAATGCCCACCACGCCAAATGCGCAGGGCCACAGGATAACCAAACCAACCAGGAAATCTCCTGCCTGCTTTTTGATACATTCCAGTACCACCGACTGCAGAGACATCATCAGGGTAGTGAGCCTGATGACCTGCATAGTGCCCGTCTTGAAGTCGTCTGTGACGCTGGGGACCACCAGGACGCTCTCCAAATGATACCCTTCGGAAACCTCGTGATCTGCTCGCGACATGTGGAGCATTGCGTGAAGTGAGGCAACGATGCCGGCAAGCAGAAGGACGGTTATCCTGGCCAGATCTTTCAGTCACGCAACATTCCATGAGACGCTGCAATGCCCACCAAAAGTCTACATATGTCAACATACACAGCACATAACCGATAACATCCTGTAACTCCAGTCAAATGGCGCGCAAATGAGGACCACCAAGCCGTCCATCACGAAAATTGGGCAGGAATCTTGCAAATCGATCACATACTTGTCTGCCTGCAGGCAGCTGCTTGGTTTAGGATATGGCTAGAGTCTTCAGGCAGCAGCAGGCTTCATGACTGACATATGACGTTTGCGGGAACACAGGGCTTTCGAACATGCACTACTCTGCCATAGCAGTCAGCTTGAGCCCTAGCAGGAAGATTCGTGCCTTACTAGGTGTCGAACTGCGAAAGAAATTCTTGCCACACCTGCCTGGCTGTCTTGGAGAAAGAGCCACCGTAACTGCTGAAGGATTCTCGATCTAGCAGGCTGCATCTCCATTGCCTTGACGGAATGCTGTAGGCCCACACACGCGCCACCGCAAAGAGGAACAAGAGGAAGAACAAGACATTGTTAGATTGGGGAGCGATTTTCGGCAAACAGCAGCACAAGGAGCAAGAGCAGCAGCAGCAGCAGCAGCAGCAGCAGCTGCAGCTGCAGCTGCCGCCGTTTGGCGCATGTATCACCACCACCGCCGGTGACGCTGAGGCCGCTGACGATCAACAACGATAACTACGGCCACCCCCACTATGATAACCACAACGACCAGAACGACAATGAACACAACGAACACGGCAGCAACAACAACAACAACAACAACAACAACAACAACAACAACAACCACGACGACGACGACGTCGACGACGANNCGACGACGACGACGACGACCACAACGACGTCAACGACAACGACAACGACAACGACAACAATAAAGACCATAACGGCAATGACCACAATGACAACGACGGCGGCGGCTATCGCCGCCACCACCGCCACCGCCACCGCCACCGCCACTGCCACCACCACCACCACCGCCGCCGCCGCTGCCACCACCACCACCACCACCACCACCACCACCACCACCACCACCACCACAATGACCACGGCCATGACCACACAAACAAAAACAAAAGCAGAAATAATAGTAACATGTGAGCCGTGGCTGAAACCCTTTGAAGTTGTTTTTTAAATCATGTGTGGTGCTATCGCCAAACCGGTCGCGATGCTGACGCGGCCCCAGGAAGAGCTGACGCAGACGCATCTCTTGCTGGAACCGACTCGTCCACTGCATGTTAAGGAAGTTTAGCTTCTCCCAATTAATTGCCCAGTTAATTGCCTAATTATAACTCTCCTCTTAATTTGAATCTCGAATCTCGAATGGGTTATCTACCCCATGGGTGGTCGGAAGTTAGGATGTGTCACTCCCCAAAAGAAAATCGACACCTGCCCGCTAGGCCTACTAGCACTGCCATGGCATGCAGACCAGTGTCTAACTTGCTACGGGTGAGGGTTATCAATCTAGACATCTTGAGAAGATTGCACTAAGAGGGTCTGCCTCCATGTCATGATGGAAACAGGCGGCACCGGGTCTGCTAATGTTTCACTGTCGCAGGGCTATCTGAAACACCAACTGGGCCAATCGTTGACTGGGCCAATCTTTACTGTAATCTTCATGAAAGTTTCCACGAGGCGGGTTTTGGCTTCACGTAAACTCCTGCTTGCTGGCTCAGGTGCACACGCACTTTCACGAACATCCCCAGCTTGGCCGCACAGACATGCTCGAAGCCCGTGATGCTCGATGCGATCCACGAGCTGCGGAGCTAAGAATGCGTGGATCCTCAAGTCTTAGGTGAGGGTTAAGGACTGAAGTGGGAACATGTGGCAGGTGCTGACAGCTTGATCCCCCACAGGACGGAGCAGAGCCCCGAGGACTCCTTTCCCGCCGACCCTCTCCACCACAAGGGCAAGGGATCGTCGAGGGCTGAGCCAGGTGTAGGATTTTGGAACAAGCTGAAATCATGCAGACGCGCATGCGCTAAAGTCGTGCATCTAATCCCGGACAGACGATTCACGAATGGGTCGTTGGCAAGTTCCTCGGGAAATCAGTCTATTCAGGTCAGCACCTGAGACACTCCAACTCTGAGTCTGACTTATTGTGCAGGCAAAAGGTCTCCTCGAACGGCTGCAACAAGAGGTTTGGGAATGAGAAAATTCGCGGCAACATGCTCCTATATGTGCTCCGAAAAATTGCAACCACCTCTGAGCAGCACCATGGGCCCGACTTCTTCCAATCACTTGACAGGTACCCTGCGTATCTATGTTGCCTCTTGAAAAGGGGCATTTCATACTCTCAAAACTACAGGGATCGCACCAGTATGAAGCGTTATTCAAGCGTCTGATACCTTGTAGGGGGGTGGGGTTGCGACAAAAAAAGGAGCCAAGCCATTTGCATCCAGCACCAAGGACAGGCGAAAGACTCATGAAGACTGGGGCCCGAGACCCAGTCTCCAGCAGTCGAGTCATACAAGAGCACAAACCAGGCCGTCTATGTGAATACAGAAAGTTCCCATGGAAGGCTTTCGCATTTGAATTCTTCTACTGCTGGAAATGTGTTGCACACATCTTGGCTCCGAAAGCTTGCCGCATCGTCAATCTTGGTTCTATGGCTGCCAGCGCGCAGCGTTCATAGTCATGCCGCGATCTCCATGCAGAGCCAAGGAATCCTTCGCGTTTTGGGGATTCCTCAAAAAACGCGGTAGGGTGCATTGTCAGATGTCGGATGAGCTCCGCGCAGTACGAGAAGATGTGCTCCCATGATCTCCCATGTGAGTGATGAGGTTTGTGGGGTTTTTGTGGCAGAGTTTTCGCACACAACAAGAGTGATGGGGTGAGCGCAGTTTATGTGGAATTCCCACACACACACATCGACAGAGAAACTCCACGAAGAAAAAATGAGATCCACAAAACATCGCTGACATGGTGGACCAATCCGCATAATGACTCAGGGTTTTCATGGGACTTCCTACAACAGCGAGGGTTCTTGGTGGACAGCCCATCTGTTATCCGGCAAACCCCACGCAACGCCATAGGATGCTCAAGCATGCGAGACGCAAGCCACGCTGAAACAGTACAGAGCGCGCGGGGATCGCCATATTTCGGTCAACAAGCGCTGCAGCACCATCATCTCCACACGAAGGAAAAGCTGTACAGACAAATCTGCATTTGGCTGCACGGTTGCACACACACACACACATGGAGAAGCCACGAGGGCACATCATATCTGTTCGCTACACATGCCAACAATGCCAGCTGAATTGCACAACTGCTCTTGCACAGCACTGACTGCAGGAATATCCAGCGGTGAGACAGCAGGTACGTCACTGGGCCACTTACAGACCAGCCTTGTTAGCAGAGGAGTCTGTATGGGTGCTTCTGCCCCCTGAGTCTCTGGGTCTATCTACCCGCGTTGTCATGGGCTACCGCGCACACACAAACTGTAACATTTAGTAATTCCTGGTGGAAATTTGCTTGCAGAAAAATCCTGTGCCGAATGTCTACCCATCAAATCGACCCATGCCATGACTACACGAAATGAGGAGGCACAAGCATGTTCTGGTACGCATCCTACACCTTCAGCCAGCAGTGGAACACATCAACACAGGAACCGTGTGGGAGCTGCGTAAGCCTGTTCTAGCCAGGCATCGTCGAGTTCTGGATAGGATTCATCTTATCCAGCCATGCCGTAATCTGTGCATCTTTCTCCTCCATCTTGCAGGCATCGGAACTGACAAAATACTTCCTCAAGCATGCTGGACAGACTTCAGGTTGGTTGCCGTTCCGTGGTCTCAAGGGCTCTAGGACTACAGGGGCACTACATTGGGGAGTACGGTCTCTCAGGGTGAGCCCGAATCAAGCATACCTGCGCTGCAAGGACTCTAGATGAAGGTGCTGGGGAAATGCTGACAAGAGTATGTGGTTGTGGAGAAACACATGTTTGCATGTCTAGCTGTGCGCATAATCTTTCTGTAAAGCCGATATGTCCCATGAAAACCCATGAAGACCCGCAAATTCTTCTAGGAGATAGACCCATGCATTGCAGCTGAAGTCTCTCGAAGCGGGGCTCAGCCGTGAATTGAAATTCATACCGCGAGGCCGCGTTGCAAGGGCTCTCCTGGAGAGGATCTTAGACGCAAGGTCTAAGGCAAGAGCTGTGCCGTTTCGACTCAGGCGCTTTCGGAATTCCCAACAAATTTTTATCAGGGTGCACGCGTTGTCTTCCCTTAGCTTCCGTCTTCTGATCTCTTTCTGAGACCCAGGAAGTAAGCGGCTGCAAGCTCCTGAAATACCTAGAGCAGTCTGATACACATGTAACTTTCAGTGTAGCTCAAAATGATGTTAAAGCTCTGCTAGAAGTTGCTGCCAGCACTGGTACATAACTGGATCTCAGTCAGTGTCGTCTGCTAAGACTCCATCCACACACGCTGCGTCATGTTTGCAATTGGCGCTTGGCACACGATCTGATGCACATGCTAGTCACGTAGTCACGTGGTGCAGCGTACCAAAAAAAAGGGTCAATTGCGGGCATTAAAAAAAGCATAGCCAGGAGTTTCGCATGCATCGTGAGCTGCACAAAACATCCCTGCATGAGTTTCAGTCCCCTATTATACTGGGTTGCTGTTAAGGAACTGAATTCAAGCAACTATATTGGGAAATCATATTAATATTTACTACTACATATACCCCATTCTGGTAGCGTAGTGTATGCAGCTTCCTTAACAGCAACCCGGTATACTGGACAGCCGAGCCTTTGGAGCCGGATGCTGCGCTGCTGCCTGGGGCTCTTTGATCAGTAGTGCTGGCTTCGAGACAAGCCTCTCTGGATTAAGCCTGTCAATTCTGACAGCTACTACACGGATTCTCTAGGCATGGCTTTGGGAGGCTACAGGCACAATCAAGAGGATTTTTAGGCTTAAAGCTTGGATCGGAAATCC